GGTGTATTAGGATTTGAACCACATACAATATATTTTTTTAGTTTTTTTTTTCATACTTTCAATATTTTACATATAAAACTAATGTTTTATCCAAATCTCCTAAAATAGGCGTATTGGTGACCCATCGATCATAGTTTTCAAGGCACCAAGGAGAGTCTAGGCAACCATAGGGCACCTAGGCACCTAGGCATTGCCTAGACAATGGAATCTAAAATAGGAACCCTACAGATTTCTACCCCTCCTGAGCAAATTTTTTTTTTCAGTTTTACATGTTAATCTACAAACCTTTAAACTATTTTTTGTGCTTGTGGTTCTTGCAGTCTTGCTTCAAGTAAACAAAACAGAATATTGAGTTTGAACCTAAAACTTAAAAGAATTGAAGGGGCGCAGCCCTGCTTTAGACCAAGAACAAAAAAGAACTTAAGAAGAAAATAGGGGGCGGAGCCCCTATTTTAGACCAATGATGAGAAAAAAAAAAACTAGGAGGATCCCCTATTTCAAACCACCAATTATGAGAAGAAAAACTAAAAAAAATGTAAGAAATTCTAGAAGAAAAGAAGGGGCTGGAGCTCTTGGTTCAGACCACCAGTGACGAGAAAAAATGAAAAAAATGCAAGAAATTTAAGAAGGAAAGAAGGGGACGGAGCCCATGTTTCAGACCACCAACGATTGGAAAAAAAAAACTAATAGGAATGCAAGAAAGTTAAAAACAAAGAAGGGGGCGGAGCCCCTGTTTCAGTACAATAAAACAATTCAAAAAGCTTGGGGAAAGATCTAAAAGAGAAGAGGAAGAAAATTGGGCATGGCCCCTATTTTAATTCAACAAAAGAAATGAACCAACTCTAAGCTTTTGCAATCTCACCCCTCTTCATTGTGTTGTGAAAAAACCCTACTAGCAAACTCAACAATCAACTATTATTTTGTTACGCTTTAGTATTCTCATAAGTGAAAACAAAAAGTGATTATGTATAACAAGTTCTATTGTAACTAGTAAAACTAACCAATAAATGTTAAGGACAAAACAATAAAAGATTTAAAGTAATTTGAACAAGTTCTAAGCGCCCACCTTACAACTAGGCGCCTGCCTTGCCTAGGCGTGTGCTTAATTCATTGGGTGTGCGCCTTTTGAACTTTTCACATAATCACATGGTGTTTAGGCATGGCGAAAACCAATAAGCACCTACTCACCTAGGCATCACCTTGACAAGTATGCTACTAATACGATATGTATCGGGCTATACAGGCTGATACATAACAAAATTTTAAACCTTGCCCCGGATGGCATCCTGTTAATCAAATAAGAGGCTGTAAGTATTGCATGAGACCAAAACTTCTTCAGAACCTTGCTCTGGAACGATAAGGCATGATTAGTCTCCATTAAATGTCTATTCTTCCTCCCTACCACTCCATTCTGTTGTCAAGTATAAATGCAAGAAGATTGGTGCAAGGTTCCTTCATCTTCAAAGAACAGGTTCAAAGATATTTTGAAGTATCCAGGTGCATTGTTGGAACAAAATTGTTTGATTTTCTTTCCAAACTGGGTATCAATCATCTTGTAGAACACCATAGTGATCCTAGGTACTTCCTCTCATTCCATCATCAAATAAATCCAAGTGCTTCTCATAAACAATGGTCCATAGAGGTAATAGGTGAAGAACCACACACATCAAAATGGGAGATTTTACTTCATTAATAGAACTTAGATAGTTGGTTTTACAATGCTTGGACAACTAACACACATCACAAAAAAGACTTCCAAGTTCCAATTGACACTTCTTAAAACAACTCTGGAAACAAAATACTCAACAAAGAAAAAGACAAATGACCCAATCTAGCATGCCAAAGATACATTGTGGTATGCAACTCCTTGTAGGTGTTGCACTAACTAGCCAAAGCCTTAAGAGCTGAACTGATATCTTCGTTAAATTAGTAGAAACCACCAACTGCACAATTACTCCCAATCGTTTTCTTTGTCAACCGGTCCTAGAAAACACAATGAGAAGGAAAGAGAGTTGCAATATAGTCCAAAGTTTTGGTTATTCTAAAGACTGAAAGTAAATTAGTAGTGAAGTTAGTAACATGTAAAGTAGACTTGAGAGACAGCCTTTCCTAGTTGTATGTCTCCCTTCCCATGGATATTCGACAGAGATCCATCAACAACTCTTGCTTTGTTTCTCCCAAACACAAGCTGGTATGATGAAAATAATGAGGAATTATTGGTCATATGTTCAGAAACACCTGAGTTAATAACCCATGGAGCCGAAGAGCAAGGTTGAGCAACATAAAGAGCAGAAACAATACCTATCTTCAAAGATGAGGATGAAATAGAGGATTGTATCAATCAAGCCATGCCCGATTGAGAATATTAACCTCTTTTGGAGTAAACTCAGGAAAGCAATTTAAGGGAGAAGTGATTTGTCCCATCTGAGAAGAAGAACTACTGGTTGTTGTCTTGTGCACTCAATCAGCCATATTTAAACTTGCTACATGTCCACGAGGCCTCGAGCCCTTACTAGGCTTCTTCTCCTTAAGTGCTGCTGGTTTCAGATGAGGATATAGAATCCACCATGTACCCTTAGTGTGTTTCTCCCCTCCACAGTGTGAATACTTCAAACTGTTCATATCTCCCCCTTCCCCCTTTCCGTGAAGCTAAAACTAAAGCTGAATGTTCAATTTGTTGTGAGGGAGAATCAGCCTTCATCTCTTTCCTTCTACTCTCTTCATTTCAAATAAGATAAAATACATGTTGCAGGTCTGGAAGTTCATCCCCTCCCAAAATCTGAGATCAAATCCCATCATAAGAAGGGCCTAGACCAGCCAGAAATTTGAACACCCACCCTTCCTCAATCTGTTTTTGATCCATCTACTTGTCTTCAAAATTTTTCCAGTCGATGATTAGATGGTGATCAAGCTCTTTCTACAACCCTACAAGAGTAGCAAAAGGTAGCAACTGACATTATTCCTTGAGTCAAGGCTGCAATATCTTGAGTCAGTCGATATACCCTAGCATTGTTCTTCCTCTGTCCATGTGTTTGATAGCTTTTCCCAAATCTTTTTGGGCTGTAGGGTAATATTGAACAGCCATATGTCATGGAGTGACACAATGGGGTGCTTGGTTAGAAGCTTTCTAGATGTTTCTTGAGGCTTCTAGCCAGTTCTGCATGTTTCTGGGGTGTTCTGGAACGTTCTAGGGTGTTCCGGAGTATTCTCCATGTGTCTAGAAGGGTCTAGATGTTGGTGGAACTCTCTAGAACCTTGTGAAACAATCTGGGTTTGTGTGGAACAACCTAGAGGGGTAGGGAGCAATCTAGACTTCCTCTAGAGTGTTCTTGTATCTTATGGAGAAAGCATCCCCTAGAAGAGTGTAGAAGGTAGAATGTTCTAGAGGTGCTTCTAGATGATGCTAAGTGTACATAGTTCTAGAGAAATCCTTTAAGGAGGTGGAGGTGCCTATAAAAGGGGACCCCCTCCCTCATTTGCACCAAGCAGAGAAGCAAGAAGCAAGCAAGCAATCAAGCATTGAATCCCTCTCTTGAGTAATACAAAGAGTTCTTTGAGTTCCCATCTCTCTTTCCTTGTGTGCTTTGTGCTTTTGTTGCCTAAGTGTGTGCCTTAGTGTGAGGGACGAGTGGTAAGCTACTTGGTCCTAGGAGCCAGGAGAAGTACTCTAAGCAGGAAAGGCTGACTTGTGGAGCGACGGACTGCTGCCCAAGTGCCGCACGAGACGCTAGAAGAGACTAAGTCTGTGACACATAGCTATCTTAGGTCATTGAGGACAACAGCCATGACATAACTGTAGCAATTTCCCTACACCATTTTTCATATCCTTGTGCCTCCATCTTTGGTTGTTTCACCTGGCCATAAATATAACCCAGCATTCCACAACTAGTGATATAGAGTTTTGCTGAAATAAACCATTCTTTGAAGTTGTACTCATCCAACTTCACACTTGTGATTTGAAGACTAGGTAAATTAGGGTTCTCCATGTTAAAGAAGCCCTCGCCAGACCTATTATCTTTGGATGACACCTCACATGAATCTGAAGACATCTCAATTTACTGGAGTTCAGCAAAAACTTCTACACAGAAGCAAGGAATAGTCTACCACTTCAGTCCAAGTATAGGCAGAATATTCAGCTTACAATGAGAGAAAAGAGGAGTTAAAAAAGACCCTTGGATAGCAGCCTTCTCTGGTTCAAATCCACAAAAAATCTGTGAACGTCAGTCCCCTTCACTGTCAATCTCCAGAAATCTGCCTGAGCTGCTGGGTTTAACAGTTCAGCATCTAGACCTGCAGTAAATAGGTCTCTCTAGTAGTTGTTTTTGACTACTCCCTTCAGCTTGCACACTAACAGGTCATGTACGACCAGATTAGCGTCTCCTTGGTCAGCAATACCAAGTTAGAACCCTAGAGAACAGGGTTCAGAAAGTTACAACCATAACTAGGGTTTCTGAAAGGAATGAACAGAAAAGAAGAGAAGAATAAGGAAGAAAGAAATAAAGAGAACTTCCAGGACCTAGGACAAATTTAATGTTCTGATACCATGAAGATATTCAGCCCTAGGTTAGAGAAAAAGAAGAAAAAGAATGAGAAGAATGGGTGTCTCTCTCTCTATCCAGCCCAGGAATCTTGTTTATAAGGAAGTTTCAACATTATATAGAGACAATACTGCCCCTGCTTAGGTGGGAGTAAGTAAACATAAGAAATACATAATAAGCCCAGGCCCATACACTTAACAAAAGGAAAAAACATAACAGAGCTCTCGAGGCCCAAGCCCACTTCTTTATGTCTTACAACAGGAAGCAGCGGCTGAGCTAACTTGAAAAAGAGGTGCAAGGCACATTTTTTTCAGATATCAATAATTCTCATAATATATAAAGTCCACAACAGTTACTGGTTAAAAAAAATCTTATCATGCACACCAAAATCCTATTCCAAGTTGCCAAAGAAAAACCAAAATAACTTGAACCATAAATGATAAGACTAGATAGATGTCCAACCTTGGGTACATGAAACTAGTCTGGTCTGCACCACGAAGGTACTCCTGAAGCATCTGGGGATGATACTCTAAAATCTGTTTACTTTAAAAGGAATAGCCATTATAAGTAAAGGTTTAAGAAACAGGCTAAAATACTGAGAAAGCAAGAACTGTCAAACTAAATGGTCATACCTCTCGATAAATCAACTCTCTCACGTCATCTTTCGTCAATTTCCTCCTCTCAAACTCAAACTCAAGTTTGGAAATGGGTTGTGTTGATGGCTCACGGTCCACATTGGCCAAACCATGAAAATATGGATCAGCTAATGCCTGCAAAAATAAGGAACACCAGTGCCTAAGAAATTAATAAAATTAAAGAAAATTTAAGTGTGTCATGTGTATATAAACTCAACTTGAAATGCCAATTATCTGAGATGGTACATTTTACCTCTTGAGCAGATGGGCGGTCCTTTGGATCAAATGAAAGTAGATGTTCAACTAGACGAAGAGCCAATGGGTCTATACCAGGGAATTTCTGTGAGAAAGGAATTGCTGGCTTTTTCCGCATGCTACTTAAATATCTTCTAGCCTTTTCATTCCGAATCTACAGATGTTATGACAGATAAACAGCAATGAGAAAGATCTGAACCGAGTCTAGATCAATGCAGTGACAGATTAACAGAGCACCTTAATGAGGCCCAACCCCCAACCCACCCACCCAGAAAAAAGGAACACGAAAAAAGAAAAGACAAATAGAACAAATAAACCCTATAACTAGAGGGTTGGAATAACAATTTAGTGATAGAATGCAAAGGATCAAATAGGATGATGTATAAAATTGAAGAGTGATACTAATTAACTGGCAGCCTGATAACGATCATTTGAAACTTATGACAATATTCTAAGCACAAATCTAGTGGCAGACAAATAAACCATTTGTAATAGAGAACTAACCCGAGCAATGGTTTCAGCAGAAGGGGTACCAAGTAAATCGGTCATGAGATCCAACTGATGCACCACATTCTTCCCAGGAAACAGTGGTTTCCCTGTAAGCATTTCTGCAAATATGCATCCAATGCTCCAAATATCAATTGCAGGGGTGTACTGCAAAAATTGTAAACCTTAGAAACTCAATCACTTCAAATGCAGAGTGACTATTTAAAGAAATAAATCTCCACAAAATATTCTACAGTTGGAGATAAACTGAGTCCCTTGTTACATAAAGGAATAGCCAACCATCAGGTGTATCCAAACATAAAAGTAACTAAAACATCTACCATATGCAATTTAAAACATACAACACTAACACAAACAGCAAATGATCAGCATATACCAGAAGTAGAAGCAACATGATTTTTCAATCCAAACTCAAGAAATGGAATATAACTTAGAACATCTGATAGTTTAATCATTACGTACAGTCTGTTCATAATAACGACACTGATTTTACTATTTTCCTTGTTTACAAAGATTATATAAGACCAATATCCGTTCATGAAGGGAATCACACTTAAGAACATTCTAATAAAGGAATTCCATAAATATCAACATTCAATACCAGGGCAGAAGCAATCATACCAACCACCTATGTGTAGAGATGTGGACATGGGACCATTTTTACATTGCACATTGCTTGTATCTTATCCTGTTGTTTTTTTCTCATTTTTTCCTTGCTTGTATTTGCATTTATCTTGTTTGTAAGGGACATAACTATCCTTTTGCACTATTTGAGCTAATATAATTTGTTCTTTTCTGGGCAGTTGAAAACACACTCAATTCAAATCTGTGTCATTTGAACTGCTCTAACATGGTACTAGAGCAAGTTCGATCTCACTTCCAGTGAACACAGCTTTCATTCTCAATTGTTAAGACTATGATTAGGGCCTTCAAGTCGATTGGATTTGTTACAGGGTTCCCTTTGTGACTATTTCATTATTTCAATAAGTACAACGTGAACTGCGTTTTCTGGGGAAAACAACCTTTGAATCAGTGTTCTTGCTTTCTCTCTTGATGGGCTTTGTAGGAAACTGTGGACCCCACATTGAGAGTATTTGTGTGACACCCTGAGATGTACTTAGATTTAATTGATTAGGATCAGCTTTCCTAGTAGGATAAGGATAAATTTTATTCTATCTTATCTAGGATTAGTTTTATTTTAATCTTATCTGTTATTGCCATGTAAGCATTAAAGTTCTTTTACAATTAGGAAACCATGTATATAAATTAACGAGTGGGGCGGCTGTTTTAAGCACTCCAACCATTCTCTTATTTCAAAGCTTCTCCCACGAGTGCTTCTTCTCTATCTCTCTTCTTCTCTTCTCATTTTCTCCTTTCCTTTTATTTTCTGTTCAAAACCTAAAGAGTCTCTGTAGTCTTGTACGACTACTGGCTTATCTGTTGGGGCTGAGATTTTTCATCTTCGGTCACCCTACCCTCATTGTTAAACCTGCAAAATCTCATGGAGGTTGGATTTTTCATGAGTACTGGTCTGAACAAGAGGAATCACTTTTTACTAGAAAAGGATGCCCCTAGACTGGTAATGTTGTGTTTTTTCCCTGTTGGATGAACTTTTAGGGCTGAAATTGGATATTTGTGTCGCCGACTGATTTTCCTTCCCCTTAAGTCTTGTGGTGATCTGAATTTGTTTTGAAGGGCTTTGTTCCCTTTCTTAGTTCAGCAGATTAAGTTTTTTACCTTTTCTGGGCTTGGAATCAATACTGTACTTGATTATCATCTGTTCCTTGCTCTTTGTTGTCTTCTTTACGCTATTTGTGATGGAAAAGTCAGATTTATTACTGGTCAAGTTCAACAGAACAAAGTATGCACTGTGGAAATTTCACTTTCAGTTTTATGTGGAAGGGAAGGAGCTCTGGGGTTTGGTTGATGGTACAATTGAGAAGCTGAAAAATTACAAACCTGGAGGGTCAACAATGCAAAAGTGATTTCTTGGATTCTCAGTTCAATCACTATAGTATAGATGTTGCAATGCCTACGTGGAGCTTCCGTACTGCCAAGGAAACGTACTCATACATGGAGAAGGTATATCAGCAGTCCAATCTTTCCCAACTATTCCAGATTGAGAGTTTGAGACTAAAATATTTTAACTACAGTCAGGGTGAAAAGAAGATTCAAGAGTACTATGCTGGTCTCATAAATATTTGGACGGAATATGAGTTGGCACATATTGGTAAAATATCCTCTGCCTATTTTGTTAACGCCTTGAAGGAACACTTTGATAAATGATAATAGGAAGGTAATGCATTTCTTAATGCACCTAAGGTTGGAGTATGAAGTTATTAGGGAAAATATCCTTAGAAGGGGTAGTACTCCATCTCTTGATGCCATCCTTGGTGAGTTGCTGAGAGAGGAAACCTGTCTGGTTACTCAGTCGACTATTGGTGGAAAGCTAGATTCAGTGATAGAGACAGCTTTTCTTATCAACAGACCAAAACAGAAGGACCTATCGAAATCGCTATGCTATGAATGTAAAGAATATGGACATGTTGCTTCTCATTGCAAGAAGAGGAACCTGTGTACTTATTGCAAAACACATGGACATATAATTACTGAATATCTTACCAGGCCACCTAAGGGACAAAATGAGGATCACAAGAAAAGTCAGCTGAAAGCCAATTAGGCTACATGGGTGGATAGGATGATGCTTCTGTGATTTCATTTATCTTTGGACTGAAGGGTGATACACATCTGGTATTTTCACTGAGGAAAAGGTGTGACAGCTTGTATCCTCATCCATCTCCTCTGTATTCTCAACCATTGGGGTTTATCTGTAAGTCTTTTTCACAGTGTTCCTCAACTAGTCATATATGGATTATAGACTCTGGTGCCTCCAATCACATGAAAGGGGCATACTCAAGTTTTGGTCAATCACTTAAACCTCCATCTATGAATAAACACATCATTACTGCTAATGGTGAGAATCTCGATATATAATAGTGATTTGTACTTGGCTACCTCGGCCACTTCTCAGCTTCACCTTCTCAAAACCCTTTTTGTATCTAAGCTCACCAATAATTTGATTTCTATTGATCAGTTAGTTGAAAATGGTAATGTTGTTTCCTTTTCTTGTGATGGTTGCTTAATACAAGGCCAACACACTGGAGAGGTGAAGGGGAAGGAGCATAGGCTGGGGCAGTTGTTCTCCTTGGATTCTGGATAGTCATCGACTTGTTCTTGCTTATTATCTACTACTTTACTCTAAAGTTATCTGTAGTAGATAACTAGATAACTTTTGCAAATGAACTGTATTTTTTGTTTCAATCTAGATGCTTGACTTCTAAGAACATTTCTTTTAACAATATTGACAAATCTTGCATTTCTTGTTCTTTGAGTAAAAGTCGTGTATTTGTTTTGTTTTTTTTTAACTTTTTTTTATAAATGAATGCAATTTTATTAAACAAAGAAAGAGCACACAGTCAACCTAAGAGGAGGCACGAGGTGTTACCTCCCCCCAGGACTGAACAATATGCACATAAACACACACATTACTGAATTACAATTATAAGGTAGCCCAAAGCAGATCTCCCCTTGATACCCCTTGTTTAGCTAGAGAATCAGCCAATTGCATTTGTTGATCTGCTAACCCACTGAATCCTAACTGTCATGTTTCTTGTCAGCCAGTTAGCTTTCTTTAAAAGATCCCTGTAACCCCAACAAACTGTTTTTGAATTTGTCAGCCAGCCCAGTACTACCTTGGAGTCCCCCTCAACTATCAAGTTTTCCACAAGTTGACTGGCCAATTGTATGCCTTGTACTGCTAGTATCTCAGCCCTTATAGAATAACCGACACCCGCTGGTCCTGAAAATAAAGAAAGGATGTTGCTTTCTTTATCTCAAAATCCTTCCTTTGCATGATGGCCATGGGTTGCCTTGACAGCTTCTGTCAACGTTCAATTTTACCATTCCTTCTGGTGGGGGCTTCCAATCTATGGACTGTTCTTTGTGGAGGCTGTGGATGCCACTGCTGCCCAATTTATCCTTAAATCATCAAAGGAGTAATCCACCAACAAGTTTCAAGATTTCAGCCAAGAGGTTGTCATTGTCATTATACACTCCTTGACTTCAGCAAGACTTCTTTCCTTTTCTTGAAAAATTCTAGCATTTCTCTCCTCCCACAAAGTCAACAAGCTAGCAGCTCTAATACACTCCCAAATTAGCTTCCCTCTCTTTGTCAATCTCCCAAAGGCAGATGGAGTAAACAACAACTTTACTTCAAAGGGCAAGTTCCACCTGCACCCAAATAATGACACAACCCAATTCCAAATATTGGCAGCAAAAGAGCAAGATACCAGCAAATGGTTACAGTCCTCACCCTTCACTTTACACATAAAGCACCAATTTGGGGACAAGCACATATAAGGTTTCTTCTTTTGCATGTTTTCCACAATATTGATCTTACCAATAAAAGGCTTCCCAATAGAACATAGCTATTTTAGGAGGTATTGGCCTTGACCAAACTTCTTTAACATGGAATACCTGAGAGGAGGGGGTGGAAGAGAGGTATTTAACGAAAGATGCACAAGTAAAAGATCTAACCAGGGTTAGACACCAAATCCTTTCGTCATCCCTTAAACCTTTTCAAAACCCAAAATCCCAATTTAAAGCTAAAGGGAGAACAGGGGGGAAAGGAACCTTGAGATAGGTTTCTTTTTAATGAGGGAGATAGAATAGAGGGAAAGGAAATGGTCTTTTAGGGGTTGAGTGCCCACCCAAATATCTTCCCAAAAAAGAACCAAGTTTTCGGAGCAAGCATCATACCTTACAAACCTGAGGAATTTGGGGAGAATGGCAAAAATTGCCTTCCAGGGTGTTATGAGAAAAGCCCTTCGAGATACCCTAGCGTCCCAACCTGATTTAGAACAGCCATGGATACTCTTCACCACTTCATGCCATAACCTCTCTCTCCATGGGCCACCTCCAAAGTCACTTACGTAAAAGAGCTTTGTTCTTATTCACTACATTTCCTAACCCTAGACCTCCTTTTTGCTTCGACTCACCAGCTCCCACCTAACCAAGTGATCTTTTTTCTCTTCCCAAGGCTCCCATAAGAAATCCCTCATCAATTTTTCCAACCTCTTTGCCTCCCT